GATCTTTTTAAGTCTAGGTATCATCTGGCATTCAAGCCAATCTGTGAATATATTAGCATCAAACCACCCAGAGCTACTTGCATTATAACGGCACCCTTTTGGGCCGTTTTCTGCCCAGGTAGTCCACATCTTATGTGCCCTGTAAACTACATATGGAGGCAACAGTTCTCCAGCGGCGTTACCACAGAACATGATGGAGATAGATGTTTTTGATGCATTTCTAATAATTTCTGGATACTTGGTTCCTTTCTTAACCAGGACTTTTTTTGCCTGGGTCGTCTGTGAGGTTGGTTTCATCGAAGTTCCAAACGTTTGATGGAGGAACGTCCTTCAACTCACCAGCCAGGTTTTCGAAAAAGCTTCTTAATAACGGTTCATCCACTGCAGCTCGTGTACGTTTGATATTTTCTGCAAAACGTATTGAAATTTCAGGATGTCTAATTATAAAGGCATTTGTCCAATCTTGTCCTGGTAAATTATCCTGAAAGGTTTTCACTTCCCTTCCGCAGCGACTTAAATAATTTTTGATGATGTGTCTCAATTCCCTTGAGTTGATAGGGAACCCATATTCTCCCAGCGCTACGATGCATTCGACAAATTGGTGTTCTTCTTGAGACGTGAATATAGCCTGCTTTCCTGGTTTTTTGCAATGGTTACCTTTGAGTTTATTTAAAATTGTTCTTCTTGGAATTTTATACTTTTGTTCCGCTTTTCTGTGTGATATGTCACCACTTCTGATTTCAGCCAAACACATTTGCAAAGTTTCGGCTGTATAATCTGCATACCTCCTCGATCCCACTCGTCTTTTGTATTTTCTAGGCATGCCTGTAATGAAAGGGATCATATGAAAATCATAAAGCAGTCCAAAAATGATATACCGCATACTACAGAAACTATAAAGGAATTTAGTGGGGTTACTTTGCTCCGGAGCAAAGTAACCCCAAATAATTGAAATTTTGCCTGTCTCAACAAGAAAAATATTATCTTACTATTTTATCGTTTATGAAGGGTAAAGTTATTAACAACATATTCTAAAATGATATTAAACTAGTACAAAAATACTCACTTGCCAGATAAAATGAAAATATCCACTGCACACAACAAATTTCCACGTTCAAATTTCTACAGCTTTTTTTGCTACCGATTCAGCCTCAGTCTGTTTGTTTACTAATGCTGGTGGAATGATGGTTTAGGCGGGAGTCTTTTCCAGGGAGGTAACCTTCAATATTTTGCAGTTTGTTTGGTTGCATACCTATCTCTTCTAATAATAAAAGTACGAATAAACTCTTTTCGGTCAAGGGGCAAAGTAACACCCATAGGAGCAAAGTAGCCCCGGTTTACGGTATTTGAGATGTTTGAACAAGGCAACGTTAATCACTTGAACTGTAGGCGACTAAATCAAGACCCCATTGAAAACATCTTTGGCCAGATGAGTCAGCAGGGTCTACGAGACACCAATCCGACTTGTAGTCATTTTAAAAATCACTTCAAAACTTTACTGATAAACAACGTTTCTAGCCGCCACTCTGTGTCAGCTAAGTGAAAAAAAAATATCATAGTGGCGGTGAAAAAGTTCATCACTGTAGATGTGGTAGTGCCTTCAAGTACGGATTTGTGTTCATCTCCATCAGAAATACCAAACCAAGCACTGCAGTATATAAGTAAAGTTAGTTTAGGATATGTAAGTGGTTTCATCACTAAATATGTAAAAAAAAGATATTTCTTCATGTGAAGTTTGCATTAGAGATATATACTAAGTGACATATAAATCCGAACACCCAGTTTAAATGGTTTTATTTTAATAAAATTTTGTATAAGTACTTAATGAAGCATAATAAGTAAATGATAAAAATTTCAAAATGATTGCACTGCTTTAAAGCCCTTTGACCTTTAATAATGTGTGGATGCACCCTGATGTGCTACGCATTCTCCAACGCGCCTAGGCATGCTTCTGATCAGGTGGTCAATGTCCTCCTGTGGTATCTCATTCCAGGCAACCACCAACTCCTCTCGAAGTGCTTCTAGAGTCTGAGGAGGACGTTGCAAATTGAGCAATCTCCTACCCATCATATCCCACACGTGCTCAATTGGGGATAAGTCGGGAGATCTTGGTGGCCATGGTAACAATGTGACATCATTATGTTGAAAGAAGTCTATTGTGACTCTTGCAACATGTGGTCGGGCATTATCTTGTTGGAAAGTTGGATCTGCCAGGGTGTCAAGATAGGGCAAAAGATGGGGTTCTAGAACTTCGTGGATATAACGCTGCGCGTTCATGTTACCTCTGATGAAGATTAAAGGTGATCTGGAACCATAAGCTATAGCACCCCAAACCATAACTCCAACAGTGTGATGAACATGTCCTTCAACAAAAAACTGTGGATTCCTCCTTTCACCACGTCGCCTTCTAACCCTGGCACGACCATCGTGCATGCCTAAACAAAATCGAGACTCGTCACTAAAGACAATACTGTTCCATTCCTGATCCCAGAGTGACCGTTGTCTGCACCACTCAAGGCGATTTCGTCGGTGTTCTCGAGTTAAAGGGAGGACCCAGTGTGGCCGGTATGAAAACAAGCCAAAACTTCTCATTCGTCGGTAAACACTTCGCATGCCAATAGGTCTTCCGTGTTCTGCAAACCATTCATTTGCAATGGACCTGGTAGTGGAGAAACGGTCCCTTAAGGCCAATAATCTTAGGCGGCGATCTTCACGGTCAGTTGTTCTACGGCGGCGTCCAGTGCCCCTTGCTCTTTGCGTACGGCCTTCTCGAAGCCATGCCTGACAACACCTAACCACAGTGTCTACACTTCTTTGCACTCTAACTGCAATTGCCCGAAAAGAAAGTCCAGCTTCCCGAAGTCCCACTATACGGCCCCTATCAAACTCACTAAGTTGACGAAATCGTACAGGTCTCCGTACTCTAGGCATCGTAACCGATCGTAAAGGATGTCAAGAACCAAAATCCGCCAACGTTGATTCTTTACTGCGGCTGAAATATTCATTTTTAGAGCGTTAGTGAATTAAAAAAAAGCAGTATAAAAACCGGAATGTCCAACTGATAAGGCTGAAAATTGTTTCACTTGTTATTTACAGTAAGATAAATACATTCACCAACTTTTATTAAAATAAAACCATTTAAACTGGGTGTTCGGATTTATATGTCACTTAGTATATATTCAGAAAATCCTGTGGATGAGTGGCATGCTCTTATAGCTGAAAAAGAATACTTGAAAACAATGCCTGCAAAATTAAAATATTGTCATTTGACAATAATACAAAAATTTGCTGAATTATACAATATTGCTACGCATTTGGTGCCACAGATAGCATATAAGGCAAATTCAGTTCAACTGTTGGTAAATTTTATAAAATCAAAGATCAGTTTACCACTAACCGTAAAGAGTCATTAAATTCCAAATTGATAGAAAAGTTCACATTTTTTCTGGGCCATAACTGGACAGTAGGCATGAATAGAGTGCTGAGTGGTAGAGATCTACGACCACTAAATAATGATCCGGACAGTAAACAGGCCAAAGAAATCTACCTCAACAATAGGAGGTACAGAAAGTAGATTATAATAATAATAATGTTTATTGCCACAAAATAGAGGTAAATATTAAATATTGTGCACAATAAACATAAAGCATCCAAAAAAGTTTGCACTTATGTTAGGGTTTGTTAAAAATAAAAATTAAAAGTACAGTCAGTGTATGAAAAAAAAAAACACGTAATACTATATAATTTGGTGAATAATTATGGTGATGTCAGGGAAAATATCCAGACAATTATAACTAAAGTAAAAGTACGGATGTTAGTGTAAGTAAAATATTATTGATTTTTATAGGGTGAGGATGCCGAATATGAGATACCTACCATTTTTATTTTTGTCCATAAAAAATTGATGATTTTTTTTATACTCCAACTACCACGAAGGCCTAAACACCCATTGGGTACCGTGGGGCTATAGGGGGATACAGGGGAAAGGGGGAACGCAAGACGGACTCTGGCGACGGAACACGTGTGCATGCAACATGCACACATTCTGGCTCCTCCTACGAGATCCGCCGGGTTCGACAGTCAGAGACCGTCTACCACCTACGGACAATCACAACATCCATAGCCAAGAGAAAAATTACTCTTGGCTTGGGACGGGATTCGAACCCGCACAGCGCACGGCGACTGATCAGGAGACTGAAGAGTCTACTACTGCGGCCACCGCTGCTGCCTAAGAGAGCAATCATAGCTCCTAAAATTACAATATTAGGTAGGAAATTTTATTTAGTTTATCCATAGAAGACAGTTTAGTCTCAAGTTTAATACATTTTATGTCGTGTCAGATAATATGAAAAGTCAGAAATCATTGTCCTATTATGAGACACTATCTCCAATTAGGTTCCTTAAGGGTTCAAATTCAGAGAATATACATTGTCGGCGAGACTTTTCACTCTATAACATTACACTTCAATAAGACTTTATTTAGTATTCATATACAGAGAAAACTAGTTTTCCGAGTCTTAAATGGCTAAACACAAACAAAAAAATCGATCTGCTGTTACGTCTCCACACTCTTCATGAGCCCACCCGAAACATCCCTGACATTTACCCCACTTTTCTCCTCTTGAGTCTTCTAGTCTTCTGAAAACCTTCCACTGCAGTATGGACATTCAGTGTCATATGACTCATCATCACTACTGCTATCTGCAAACTCAGGCAAGTCTTCACCCTCAGAACTAGAACTTTCCGGCACCTTAACTTTCTTTTTCTTCGTAACTTTATTAATATCTTCCTTTGTCTGCTGTATTTTATTCGTCTTTTTAGAACCTTTCTTCTGAAACTTTCTATTTTCCTTTTCGTTCTTTTTATAGGAATCTATCAGTGAGTTTCTATATGGAGAACCAGTTATTATATTAGCAGCTCCAGTTCGGGCTTCCTTGGGCGAATCGTTCCTAGGCAGTCTCGGCACCGGCCCAAGTGCAAAAGGTGAAATATGAGACGACGTGCTAGGCACTGAATTTTCATTTAAGTCAGCGCCATTAGAAATAGCTTCAGACGGATTTTCTGCCGAAGTAGTTCCCCGGCGTGTTTCTTTCAGAATTTCATTTGACACTCCGTATTCAGGTGAAGGTTGATGAATCGGGAACGTCTATCGGGTGATTGTTGCCCTTGATCTTCGTCATTGAAAATTACAAAGTCATCTGCTGTAGAAACATTACAATTACAAGGAACCAATCCAGTTGTACGAAAACCATTGACAGGGGTAGTCATTGTAGCAGCTTTTTCATAGGCAATGCCAAATAGTCTTGATACATATTTGTTTGTCAGTGTCCAAGGCGGGTTATTTCGCAGCCATGTTTCAATCTCTTGGGAGTAATAAGTTTTAAGTGGCTTCAAATGCTGAAACCGCTTTGTGAATAAGTGCGTTTGGATCAAGCCAGAGGGATGACAATCACCTATGGAACCAGCAGGTGCACCATCCATCAGATCTTGATCCATATTTTTCTTTGGAAAAATAAATACTGGAGGAACATAGTTACCAGAAGCGTTCATGCACGTTACAATGGTTATTAGTTTTCCTCTTTCCAAAGATGTCAACGCAGCAACCTTCTGCTTTCCTTTCAAGCTAATGACTTTGGAGCGTGTATGTTGTACGACTGTTATTCCAGCCTCGTCAACGCTGTACACTCGGTGTGAAGCTGATTGCATTTTATCAATTTCCGGCTCATAAAAATCAAAAAATTTATTGACAGCAACTGGATTGAATTTTTTCACCCTTGCGACAGAAACTGCTTCAGGTGTTCTGAGTGACAAATTGGGATGTCGACTTATAAACCCACGTAGCCACTTCTTACCAGCTGATTCTTAAGTCAAGTTGAAAGTATGTTTGAGATTAATCATAGGCAATTGAAACGCCATGTACTTGATGTCCTTCAGACGTAACCCATAAAATCGTTGGTCTAATTCCTTACAATACTTTCCTAGCTCTACTTCTAAATAGTCAGGCAGAACTGGAGGTCTCCCCATGCAAACTTTAACAAGCACTTCTGCCTCGGCATCCTGCTTCACATAACGTTCTAGGGTACCCTTAGTCACACCGAAGTGTTTTGACGCCTTTAAATAACCCATTCCCTTGCTTCGCACTGCATCCACGGCCCTTATCATAGCATCGTGGTTCCAGGACTTCCTTTTTATCGGCGGCATCTAGATGAAGGGAATACATATCGTCGATGAAACCAGAAAAATGTGTATCTCCTCTAACACTGATTTTACAGGAGACCAATAAAACATTGTGTTTCTGAACCGGTTATTAAAAATTAGTTATTATTGTGTTTGTTGTTGGCGATTAGACATAACATTTATATAAAATACATAGTTTTTTATTTTTTTTTTGTGCTTTGACATTTTTCTTGGAGATTCACATATTTCTATTTAATAAATGACACAAAATAGGAGATACACAAGTTGCATGACATTAACACATGGTGAACAGATAAATTGTTATAAGTTACAAACAAAACTCTGATACAGATTAGAAAAATATGTTATTGAAAATAATATAGCTTACTGATATAAAAGGTTATCATAGCAATCGTGATAACTTTATCAAGCGAACCCTTGAGGATCTGCAGATGATCGAATTTTTCTTTTTTAACACTACTAGCGCCAAGCGAAAAAAACCTGTCTACCCGTTGAGGCCAGCCTTTTTTCAGTAGGTCACACCCCCAGGCCAGAAGTGTTTTTTAATTTCTTTATTCAGATAAAGTATATACGGATGATGTTGAATAAGTATTAGCCCATGTGAAGAGCAAATTTTGCCAAAATGGCAAATGTATCAAATCTATACATGTGGCCTCGTGGTGTGACTCTCGAATTTTCTCAACCCCACGCCACGTGTGTACATTCGATACATATTTCCATTCGTATACATCTTATGGAAATTTCAAACTAATTGGGGAAAAATGATAAAAAGACAACTTCAGTGATATTTATACAATATATTTACAAAGAACAAAAATTGTGGAAAACAGAAAATAGAATGAAATTATCGTTTGCTTGGCACACAGTTGTGTGTTAGAAAAAAACAATCAATGCACATAAACTTATGTGTGCATGAAACACATGAGGTTTTAACTTGTTTGCTGAGTGTTGTGGCCTTCTTTGAGTCGAATTGCTTTTGGAACTTGTCGTAGCAAACCACGCAACGTCCTCTTTTTGGTCGATTTTCAGTCAATCGGTGTTTATGATGTAGTTGTTGGGGAGTCAGCAGTGCCTGCTCATCTAAGGTTCTTAGATTTTCCAATATTGCTGTCACGATTTCCTCCCTAAACCGGACAATTGTTATTTTTTTCCTTACCACCAGTGTATACAATCTGTGACTGTTTACAACTGCGGTGTTTGTTAGGAGATCAAACGCAAGTTTTCTATGCCATTTGAGGCCTTTACGCAGTGGACTGCAGTAACCTGCCATCTGGTCTGACAAATCTATATAACCTTTAGCAGAATTGTAATCCACTATGGTCGAAGGTTTTTGCATTCTTCTTCCTCCTCTGCTTTCAATCTCCACTAAATGCGGCACTTGTTTTGTAGTCAAGAAAAGGACATCTCTTTTGTCCTTCCATTTTCCAATAATGATTTTTTTCTCACTATGTTGCAAATATTTCATATCCCCTCGCCTAAGTTTTGCTTTGGTAACTCCATGTGGGTTATGTTTTCTATTCACTCTAAGGGTACCGAGTAAATGGGTTTTTCTTTTCAAAAGTTCTTCTGCCAATTCAACACTTGTATAAAAGCTATCAGTAAACAGGGTTCTCCCTTGGTCCAACAATGGCTCCATCAGTTCCATAGTAGTTCTAGTGGTAACAGTGAGATTTCCAGAAGAGGCTTTTCCTGTGTATACTTTCGCGTGCCAAGTGTATCCACCCAACAGACACACTTTGTAAACCTTCAAACCATACTTGTGGCGCTTACTTGGAATGTATTGGCGAAATTTTATTCGCCCTCTGAACGGAATCATCGACTCATCTATGGTAATTTTTTCTCCAGGTTCAAACATTATGGAAAATTTGTTGTTCAGCAAGCGGAGTAAATGTTCGATTTTGTACAGTCTGTTGTCTGGAGATGCCATTTCATTATCAGCAAAGTGGATGAATCCCAACAATAATTCAAACCTATTTCTACTAATATAGCAACTGACATCATTTTTGTACAGAATATGTTTCTTCCAATAGTCGCGAATTTCGGGTTTTCGGTCTAGTCCCATCCATAGTAAAAACGCGATGAAGATTTTCATTTCCTCCCTGTTTGTATCAGTCCAAGCATTATATCTACTCCCAGTAGTAATTTCTTCTCGCGCAATGAGCTTACAAAGTTCCTGGGTGGCATAGAGGTTTGTATTGGAGACAATTAGATCCATAATCTCATCATCAAGAAAGAGATTATAAAAATCTAGCGGTGTTTTTTCGGTGTGCTCTAAGAGCATCAAACAATGTTGAGAAACTGCGTTTGTCTTGTTGCAATCAAAATTGAAAAGATCACATGATGGTTCTGACCAGCTCCTTTCTCCTTGTGCCTCTTGAACACCCGCTTCAAGTACGTCATCATCTTCATTGCTATTTGTCTCGACTTCACCTTCAAGGGCTTCATAATCTTCATCATCGTCCTCAGATGAATCCTCCACTAAAACAACAGTAACGTAAGGTAAATCTCAGATCTAGCGTGAATATGTGAATAGGTGAATAGGACATACTAATGAATTATGTGTGATAAATTTGAAGGTTACCGGTCAATAACGTACACCTACTATGAAAATGAATATTTGACGTTCGTAAATAACGTAAATAAGAATCATACTTACAGCTACTCCCGCTACTACGTCCGTCGTCATCGTTTCCTTCAAGAATTGCGACCAACTCATCGTCTGTATATACTTTTCTACCCGACATCATTTATAACATAAGTACACAAACGTACGAGAACACAACTGACTGAATAATGCGACAACACGATTAGCACGGATAACAGTAGGGGTTGGTTGTTATTTATCAATGCACATAGGCAACCAGGATACCACGGAATAGCAGTTTGCTATTTTATACTGTTATTTTAAAAAGTTATTCAAAAATAGCATCAACAGTCATAACAGTTATTTCAAAATAACCATATTTCCCGTCTCTAGATAACAGCATCCGCAGTGGAAGAACATAAACGCGTTATTTGGAAAAACCTAGTGTTAAATTCGAATTGTCAAACATATATGTCCAAAGCAAAGGATATCGTTAGTTGGATACTCTTTGCCAAAACCATGTGGCTGGCTTTGTTGACGTTAAGGCTGGTCTACATCAATGCTTGTTGAAATCACAATCGTAGTTGCAACGATTATTATAAGAGTTGAATACGAATTTCTTATCAGTGCGTTCCTAAAACATCATCATAATCATAAGAGCACATAAAATTCAGGTTTTATGTTTAGGCTTTATGATTTACATCAATTGGGATTGTACATACGTGTAGACCAGCCCTCACGTCAAAAAGTATCAACACAGTCTCAGAAAAAACCTTCTTCATCCTCCCCCTCCTTAATTTTTCGCCCGCCAAAGAAAGGATGTACAGTACGAGGCCATTCAAGGTCGTTTTACCATTGAAAGTAAGCTAAACCATGTATCGAGATGATACAGAAGCTTTTAATGCAACCCTTTAGTGTTGTATCATTCTGATACATATGGCCTCCCACTGTAAAGCAAATATGTATCGAATCTATACATGTGGCCTCATTATGTAAACTCAATTTGTATCAGATAGATACATATGGCGCTATAAGGGTTAATCCTCCTTCTTTGTTTGTAAAGGCTCGGTAAATTTCCGAAATTTCTAAAAATATTGTTAGGTTTTCTCTCTCTAGAATCCAACGGGGTCCACTGCTGGTCACTATGCCGTGAATCCTTCAGAGTTATATTTTATAGCTTTCAGGTCAGTCACTGTTGGGTTTCCCACTTTTCGACCAGGCCTTATACATTGATAATACTTAATATTCGAGAAATCTTTAAAAAATGTGTGATGAAGATGCTGAACTTTATATGGAAATGGGACTGTTCGTGCTTTTAGACAATGTCAAACGTAATCTGCTGGAAGGTTTATGTCCCTATTCCGTACTCTCCTTTCAATTGCGGAATGCATAGAATCTGCTTCCATCTGTGTATGTCCCTTGAAAAGATATTTTTGTTCTATTGTTATTTTGTGCAAAATGCATAAATTCAGTAGTGCATTAGACAGAACATTATTTGTATTTTGTCCGACGCATCCATCACTCCACAAAATAATTTTGACCGGCTTATTCACGACTTTTGGTAATACTTCAATTTCAATAAAGGACGTTATAATTGAAGAGAATTCGTTGGCAGTTAGCCCACCTTCCGTTTCGTTCCAGAGGTAGCAATAACCTTCATGATTTTTTATATTATAAATCGTAAAGTTATGTACAGCAAGCTTTGTCTTATAGTAGATGGTGGATACTTTATTAAGCGGGGCTAGTAAGACGGATTGCATGTCCATCGTGAAAATAAGATCCTCTTGGCATTTATCGGCATCCTTGGCCATTCTAGCCTCGTCCTTTAGAACTAAATGTCGTTCATATTCATCTTCTGATATATTTTTGGTCTTTTATGCAACACAGACGTCGCATTGATCTTTTCTGGGTCTGAAGAGGGAGATGTTCATTTTAGCTAAACAATGTACGTGAAACAGCGGGGACGTTTTGTTCAATACAATATTGCTCACTATAGAACCTATACAGGTCTTGCTTGCTTTGCCATATTGTCTCTAAGTATAATCTTTGGCTTGAAGCCGGACAATAGTGACTCTCCATCTTAGGAATAGAATTGAAAAAATTTACAACCCCTTGATTCAAGTTTTCGCTCACTTTTTTACGTTGTCTGCCTGATTTGCTTAAAGACTGTGGTACTTCATCATCAGCTATGCCACCTAGGTCAGCCTTTATCCAGGAAAGCACGCAGTTTTCTCCAAGTCCAAGGGTGTTGTTATACATTTTCTTGCAAACTCGGTACGATTCAAAATTAACTTCTAGGTGATACGTGATCGAAAAATTCCTCCGCGACTGATCGTCTTCGCCTCGTCGGCGTTTGACTTGGTCTAGTTTTGCCGAACATTTAACGTACTGTCTTTTTTCTGGCCAGGTTTTTTCCAAA